GAGAGAGAGAGAGAGAGAGAGAGAGAGAGAGACTAAAAATTAACCTTTACCAAAATTACAATAGAAATTCCACACCCAATTTATAGTAAATTTAATTATAAGGAATTGTTAAAAGTTAATAATAGGTATTATATTACAGTTTTAATATTTTTCTAGGTTAACTGTGATGCATTGAACTTTTCACAAAATATAAATTCTATCATAATAATTTAATATCGCAACTACAAACTAACCATGATATACGTCCATGTGCCAGTGCAATGATCATAATTAGCAATTGATCGTAAACCAAACAGGTCCAAACATCCATACTTAATCAAGTTCATTCTATCATGTTCGCACAACTCAATAAAAGGGGACAACTTTTTGGACATATCGATAAACGTGCGAAACCGGTACTCAAATCGGGCACCAATCACGTCCCTATATCCTGCCATCATTTTACCCTCTTCTTCCGTGTTATACGTCAGTGTTTTCTCGGCTGATAAGCCACGGGTCGCCGCCAACAGCTCGCGCAACCGCCGGCCCTCTAATTCATTCAATTGGTTTCTGTAGTCAGTTATGGGTCTATGGATTCGTATGATATCTGGACGACACGACTGTCCCGTTAGGTCATGGCTGGACAGTGGGCTAAGACCAGGTGTAGGGCTCGAGTCAATGTATATTGCATTAGAAATAGTGTTTGTATCGGTTATATCAGTGTTGAGCTCCTGTAGGTCTGTTGTGTTGTTATTACTGTTCAAACTTGATTTAGTCGTCGAGTCTATGGCACTGTTTTGTGTTGTATTTTCCGTACAATTAATTTTGTTTTTATCAAACTGTTTGCTGTTATTATTATTGTACAATATTTTTATTAATTCCTACAAATTGTTTACAAAATTATTTTATCATTTTGAATGTATTTTGTTTATACAAAACAAACCTTTTTCATTCCCATTGCGTAACATTTTCGGAGCCGACAATCGATACAAAAGGATCTCGTTTTAATAGTTATGTCACAATTGTTGGTGAAAATACATCTGTATGCCTGTGTGAGTAAATGTTGGTAGATCGTTTAATTTATTCTCTCTCTAAAAGTTAAATATATGTTATTGTAAATTTATCATAATACGTGGTGTTATGACATTTTCTTAAACACTATTGATAATATATAATATTATATTTTTATAAACTAATAAAATTACAAATAACTATTAACTAATAATTTATAAAAATTACTATAAATTACTTGTCAGAATAATTAAAAATAAATACAAACCGAGATTATTTTATTGTTAATATTACTCAATTAAAATTACTTTTAAATAATAATTAAGACATTTCTGTTGATGCATTATATCATCGAAAATACTGTAATTATTAATGTTTATAACATTTTAAATCTATTTTTAGTGTTATTTAAGTATTATATTGGGGTTCCACCACGAAAACAAATAATTTTCTCTCTCTCTCTCTCTCTCTCTCTCTCTCTCTCTTACTTTATAAGAACTTTCAATATTATGATTAAAACTGTAAAAATTATGACACATTGAAGAGTTCTTCTTAAACAATTTATATCTATTATTATTATTGGATTTTAAATAATCAGTTGTTTTTATTTTAATCTAGGACAATAACATTAAAGTATTAATAAGCATAGAAAATCTACGTCAATCATGGGGACACATATCAATATATAAACCTGCTAAAACATTTATGGACGCCCTATCAGCGGAATGGGACTCGGACCCAGTTATTCTGGACTTGGTACTTTTTAATTTTAAATAATAAATTCATTTAAATTCATTTATTGTTTTATATACAGCTCACAGCAATCATATTATTTAATCCAGATCGGCCTAATTTGATTGACTACTCGTATATAAAGTGAGCAATTTATTGTGATAAGCTCAAATAATAAATTTTATTCTAATCCCTACTTATTATACCCCATAGACTACAGCATGAGATATACCAGTATTTATTAAAACGGTATTTACTATTGAGATATCGGACGGAAAGTGTGTCTCATCAAAAATTTCATCGCCTCTTAAACTCGTTCAAACATTTATATGTTTTATCCCAAAAACGTCTCAATAATTTTCAACAAATAGATTCATCAAAAATACCACATATTTTATTAAAAGAGATTTTGGGATTAAAATAAATTATATTTAATACAGTGTTGTTTGTTTGTAATTATAATATAAATAATTTATAATAAGTTTTTAATATTTTAATTAAATATTTATAATTTTTGATAATGTTTTTTATATAAATACGATTTTATTTTAAAACAAACCATGGTCAAAAGCATGAAATAGCATAATTAATTTATAACTTCAATTATATTTTGTTATCACCTTAATTAAATAACAAATGATCGATAATTTTATTTAAAATTAAAATTGGTTGCACTTATATACCCCAAATAATATAATTTGTTAATTTTTGGCAATCTAAAATATAAATATAAAAATTAATTTACAGTTTTATATCGCAAAATTATTCAATAAGAATAAACATGGGTTATAGTAGCAAATACTTATAATTGTAAATATAATAAATAATAATAATTACAACACTTAGCATTTGAATAGTAATAATAAATTACTAATTTAAATATTTTATTATAAGCAACATTATAAATTTAATTAAAATTAACATATTTAAATTAAATTAATATACTTTTAATGTTAACCGCAGTTAAGTACAAAAATTACAAAAGTTGAATCTACTGTTTTGTATAATTATTACAATGTTCATTTGTTGTTTAGGTAATTATCTGGCACAAAAGCTATAAAGGTTGTCACATTCATATAGAGGTAGCCATTATGTATTTTATTGGGTATAAATAATACAGCACGTATTATCAATTATTACAATTAAAAGTTAAAGTGCTAATTATAGTTACCGTTACCAAAGTGTCTGTAGTATTGCCTGTACTGTCTGTAGAGTTGTTGCTAACGTTAGATGTTATTAAAAGTTTAAATCTATTTTAAATAATTAATTAAAATTTTAATCTAATAACATAATATATTTTATATTAGAATCTAGACCGAGAAATTAATCAGGATTAATTTAATTAACCAGCCATGAAATTTTGTATTAATAACACGTGTAGCCAAAAGCCAAAATATAAACGTTGCAAAATATGTGGCGATAGTGCGATAGGTAAGTAAAATTTAGTATTATGTTAAAATAAATTATAACATTTATTTTGATTGGAGTCACTATAAAATGTTTTGCTGTTAATTAAACCAATATAATTTATTTTATTGCCAAGGCAAAAATTTTGATGTCCTAACGTGTGCTTCCTGTAAGGCTTTCTTTCGGCGAACGGCACTTAAAAATAAGGTACTAATTATTATCATAATTATAATAGTTGCTAATAACTATTAACATAGATCTAATATTTTATTATGTAAAATTAAATATAATCTAAATAACTAAAGAATGCCATACTTTGGTTAATAATAATTTATTAATATGTCATGTATTAAAGTGAAAATTTATAAAATATATTTCATATACAATGTTCTAGAAAATTTCAAAGTAAGAATTATAAATCTGCCATGTTGGTGCATTAATTGTATGGTCTTATGTACCTAATTATTATGGACTCAAGCTTATATTGTTTCTACATAATAATGTACTCAATTATTTTTAGCATTAATTAGTAATTACTAACAAATGTATGTTTTATTATTACAATCAAATTTTAAACTCAAAGACCATTGTGGTGGTTTGATAAAATAATTACTTTATACATCTAGAATGCAACATAGTACAATCAACTTGCGCTATTATAAACTCAATTGTATAATACTAACGTTTTTTGTTTTGTAGATGTGTTAAAATAATGCTTACAAATGGACTAACAAAATGATTTTATTTTTAATTAATAATTTTTTATAGTTAATCAAAATTAAATTATTAATTAATATTTTACTTAAATATGATTATAACCATAAAAGCAATACAAATGCCTATTGGATAATAAGTGCAAAATTGATGTCAAGACAAGAACTTTCTGTATTAAATGTCGATTGAAAAAGTGCTACGACAAGGGAATGAAGAAGGTAACTAGATACAATAATTGTTTAATAACATTGTTGTATTAAAATAAAAATACAACTACTGTAGAATATATAATACAACTACCAAAAGAAATTCCGGGCAAATCACATACTCCATCATAAATAAATTGTTACTTAAATATTAATATGATTAATAATGTGTATTTTTAGTTACAGTTTTGCATACTGTAATAAATATATTGTAATTAATTTGTATTAAATAAGTTAGTATAAATTTTGTTTAGATGGATGGATTGTTGCCCTGAGAATAATTTAATTTTAATAGAATTTGATTATAATATTTTTAATAAAATAAATTGATTTAATAAATAAATAATCAAGGTTAAGTTAACTTATTATTTAATAATAACTTATTATACATTTCCTAAACATGTATAATAGGATTACATACTATCGCGTGAAGTGAAGGCATTGCGCAAAGTGAGGCTACATGAAATGCTGGACAAACGGACAACCATGGCCACCAACTCGTACAGCTACACCCCGGTAACCAGCCCCCTAACCGCGGACACCCCTACCATACAGGACACTATTGATACCTCTACAAGCAACGGGATTATTAACTATCAAACCCCTGACAATACTTACTACTATCCGGAAACTAATAACTTTAACGATTGTACACATGATTTATTGGCACCTCTGGAAAGTTACTGGAATTTTCCGATAAAAAATTGCGGGAAAGTTTCCCCGGAAATATGGCAATATAATAATCAATATGATTGTTATGAAATACCTGTGCAGTTAGATAATGGTTATGATGGGTGTGAGGGGCAGCCCTTTGAGCCCCTGCTAGAGTTGCCTGATGATTTTGGTGACATAGACTTTGATCTAGATGTTGATATTTATAACTCGCTGGTGTGTAGTCTAATTGGTTAAGACACCCGCTTTAAAGCGGGAGATCTGGGTTCGGGGCCCAGTGCGCCAGTTGGTACTAGTTTAAATTAACCCACCCTATAATTTTATGCTGTAAACACCCCATCCTATTTCCAAATTGATTAATTTTATGGCAAAATAATTACATTCAATGACTAGACTGTCCATGTCCCTAATTTTATTAAATTACTTTATTAAGAATTAAATTTATTATTTTACAATCTAAACTTAGCCATGTAAGTACAAGTAAATACTTAAAATATTAATTTTTAACAATTGTTTTGTCCTAAACCAAAAATAAAGGTTTTATTAAAATTCCATATCTATGTAAGATTTTGTGTGAATTATTGACAGGTTATAATAAAATTAATTAAATGTCAAATAAAATTTAATAAACAAGATTGCTTTAATTATTAGCAAATTTAGTTTTCACCATAAGACTATTTTATACTGCAATTTGTCAATTATATTTACCGTTTCCAATGTTATATGTTGAAAAAGATAACTAGATATATTATTATTATTATTATTTACTAATTAATTAAAAATTAGCATCATATAATATACAGTCGATTTCATATTCCCTTGCGCGTGTTATTTAATGTTTACGAGTAAACTAGGTTCTATTCTAAAAATCTAATTTGGTACGATTGTGGGGATTTATGGGAGGCAAAAGTTGGCTATTTTAAATTTTTTGATTAACTTCTCAATTTTTGTTGAATAATGAATAATTGTTGCTCAAAAACTACTGGGTCGATTTTTGCGTTCGATATCTCATAATGTACATAATGTAAAATGGGTCGATACGTGTATCAGGATTTTTTTTATATAATTGGCATAATATCACAAATAGAGCGCTAAAGTACCCAAAATTTCATATTTCGCATATTTGCCATTTTAATAAACATGGTCAATTTTAGCAATCAGTATACTAAAATGTTAAGAATCTTGTCTAGAAAAAAGTGAATTTCAGATTTGCATTATTTTATTGTTTTGTCTACTTTTTCCTAAAAAATAGAACGAAAAGTTAGATTCAATACTTTTT